ACAGAGCCTAATGTAGTATGCACTACAGCAACAATATTCCTCTTGTTTTTGGCTGAGGGAGCCTGTGCTGATCTCCACTGCAACACAGAAACTCCTGAAACCACACATGCATTCTTCAGAAAGATGATCCTGATAGTTCCCATTTAGTGCATCTTCTATCCAAAATCTTCACCTCACTGATTTGAGGTAATCCCTAGATAACAGAATCCTGGTTCTCCCAGTAGCCACAACACAGCAGACTCCATTTACAAAGAGCTCTGCAGACCTAAAAGACCAACAGATTCTCTGCTCTATTCAGCCTGATAGCTTCCACACTCTGCTTTGTCTTCCAGGCTCTTTAAAGTTCATTCTTCACCCAAACACCCGGCCATGCTCTCTGATCACGCGCACCCAAACAGTTGAGCGCTGAAGCAGTTCAACAGGTGTCTCTTATCGCACCATCTTAGCGGACACAGAGCCTGGAGGAAAACAGCAAATGAGGAGAGGCACAGAAGAAAAGATCCTGAAGATTGTTATCTAGGAAAACACAGGCTTAGGAAGCTACGGAAAAAAGAAAAGGAAAAACAGTGGAAGAGGGACATGTGTCAGCGTGTTTGTCAGCTCTGCTTTAACACAAGAAGCGCAGGCTGAATGAGAGGAAAACAGGAAAACAAAGACATAATAAGTAAAAAGCTATTGAGAGATGAGAGGAAAGAAGGGACTGCATGAAAGAGAAGAGTAAGATCAAACAAGCGCAGATGATGGCAGACAATAAAGACGACTATCACAGACAATAATCTGAAAAAAGGCAGACAATGGTCCAATCAGCATTCAGAGCTGAGCTCCTTCTTTATCTAACCAAAATAAAAAACACATTAATTTGGGAGCTTCACTCACAAAAAGAATGAAAAACCAGGCCCAGCTAGTACTCCACTAGAAGCTTTGATTCTGAGATCAAAATAATCTTTTTTTAAAAATATATTTTACTATTCAGTTCATTTATTGCTTAAGTTTTCTTCTCCCTACCTTTAAGCCAGCTTTCTTCTGATTGGCTATTATTTAAAGAGCAAGTCAGAGAAGAGGATATCATCTCTCTCTGACATCACACAGAGCCAAACATAAAAAAAACAAAACCGTCTGAAACCCAGTGTTTAGAGCAAGTCTGAGGCCCGGGTTATTGCTCAGTGGGATTAATTACACATATGCCGACCTCAATATTTAAAATTCTTGCCATATGTAATATGTAAGTGTATATATGACAGATAAGAAGAATAATGGGGCCTGACGGTAGGTGGAAGGTTCTAACATTTTCAAATTCTTAATTTTTTTATGCTTTCTTGGTGAATGTGATGAAATGCTAAACTTTGTCACTGTGAATCAAAGAGATTAGTAACGGATAAAAGGGAGACGTGAACAACTCTGTACAACGCTGTATCCTGTGGATGCAACAGGACGATGTACCAAAGCTCACAAAGATCTGAACTACGGAAGAAAAGCTTCCTATATGTGAGCCTATAAGCGAGCGGCCAGTGCCGTCCCTGGATGTCAATCCTTTTGCCTTTAATTAAAAATGTGAGTAACCCTTACAAAGTGATTTTCCATCTGTCACATGTATGACCTCAACGTGAGTCAAAGCACCGTCAGACGTGATTTGCCTGTCTTACTTCCTGTCCGCTGTGTCTCTAATTTAAACATTATCAGCATCCATTTTTAAGAATTTATCAAGTTTAAACAATGTGCATTTGTTTTTCTTTAATCAAAACCACTGTGCAAGGATACAATCCTCGACAAAAGACAACAATAAAGTCTTATCTCATCGAAGGGCCAACAATTGAATACATATGTGTAACTCACTTCTAGTTAGGCTTATTACAGCAATGAGCTCATGCTGCTGTTTTGGTCAATGCTCTTTCCAAAAAACCACAATCCGCTGGTTGGCAGCCAGCAGCTGAGGGGATGGTTAACAATCAGAGAAACACTATGTCACTTCGAGGAAACGGCTGACCACCAGATCAGCTTTCTGGCCAACTGTGGTCTCAAATTTGGTGTGCTGCTGTTGGGACCAGAGGAACAAAGACAGATATGTATGTAGCCTGAAAACATTTGCAAACCGAATAACAACCTTTAACCTAACCTCAAATTCTATATCATGAGTAAAAGAAGAGAACACACCCACGCTGACTGGTCACACGGTGGCGA